GATAATAGCGGTTGTGGCAGATAAATGAAAAAAAATCGTTTTATATCGTTATTTCTTTTTTATATTTATTGTTTTCTTATATTTACAAGAATCTGTCGCTCATTTCTTTTTCTCTCTGTTTGTTGCAAATGAAATCAGATTTGAACTCGATGCACTTTGCCACGTTTTATACTGAATTAACTTTTGCATCGCTGAAATATTTTCACAGCAGAATTATTCTTATTGAGCTTTTGTCTTGCCGTCTTTTGCAATGAACAGCTGATTATATTTTTTTTACGCAAGCACACCTTCATTATAAAAAAAAATATATATCAAATTCTTTATCCCAGCACTACAGAAGAAAATAATTATCAGCTATTGATATAACAAAACTCATTTGTCTTCTGTTCCTAAAGTCTGTAGCCAGGAAAGAGTTCGTTTTGATGGAAGGTAAACAAAAAAGAACTGAAAGGTAGGAAAAAATCTACATGAAACAGAACACGATAAACACTGATTGAACTTTTGAGAATAAAAAAAATAAATCTACACATAAATGAAAAGCTAAAATTTAATCGATAATAAAATACAACTAGCATGGAATTAAAAATAGATTAGAGAATAAATGCATAGAAAATTATAAAATTTAATAAGAAAGTTGGTATTTGTGGCATAAAGAGTTGTCATTATTTACATTACGACTATTTTCCACATCAGTTCGTATAATTTTTCAACATTTCAAGCGCTCTGAAATCCGGCGTTCCGCAAGTTTTTGTCAGTCCGGACAAACTTCATGGGATTTTTAACTGATAAGTCAATTTATTCAACGTGATTACATTCTAGTCGTCCCGTTAGTTATGCATCATCTTATCCTTCTTTAGTTTATGTTTATTCTATCGAACATTCATGAGTCTATCAATCATGATCCTGTATCAAGGTGGGAAGGTCAATAGGGAGGCATTCTGTGTTACAACATAGCTGTAGTTGGTTGCTGGGCGACCAAATCGTCTTAATCCATTGCTAGGTGTCCAGAGTAGTAGATCACTTGCGTGTTTTTGTTTTGCTTAACGGCAGTGTTTTGGAAAGGTCATCAGGGAGGAATTCTTTGTCGCAAGATAGTTGGTCAAAGTAGGTGGTTGCTAGGCGATCAACTCATATTGCGCCGTGGCTAGGTATCCAGATCAGTGATTTCATTTGCAAGTTCTTGTTTGCCCACCAGCAGTGTCCTGCTATAAGCATTCTGCATTCGCGTAAGTTGGTAGAATTGTCGGTGATAGGTCAAAAGAGCTGTGATTTAGTTGGATCTTGTCTCCAGATGTTAAAGTGTCTAAGGTGAATCAATAATTGATAGTCCTGGGTCCACTGCGTTGACTTCTGTTCTAATTGGTCCATAAACTAACCATACAGTTACTATGTCACCAATTTCCCGAACCAATGCTTTATTCATCTATTCTATTGTCAGTTCAATCCCCGGGTCGGGTAGGACAAACTCAAACTCAGTTGATACAGAACTAGTAATAATATATCTTTACTACAAAAGGAGAATATATCAATATACATGGTCAATGAAACTATAACTATCTAAAACCGTCAATTTAGCAAATACTTCACTTCGAAATTCTTGAAGATTACCTCCGGTCGATACCGGAATATGGCTGCGGGACAGAACTGCCGAGCTATTGAAATTATACCAAGAAATATAAAAACATTTGTCTGACTGTAAATAATTTAAATAAAAATAAATTGAAATAAAAATTCATTATATGAAATTTGTTTTCTAATCATTAAATGGGAGTCATGTCCCCAAATTGCTCAATAAAAAGTAGATCTTCTTTGTACATTTTGCTATTGTGTTGCTCAAAGTTACAAATGTAGAATGTTATTAACAGATTATGATTAACACTGATACAAGGACCCAAAAGTCGAACATTCATTTAGGATCACAATGCTAATACGAGCAAATTAAACGCTATGTCTTGATTTCTGTCGTTGGGTTTACATTAACTAAATTAAGACGTCGCCTGAAATTATGTAGTGTTGTGCACAATTACACGCATCAAATATGTATGGGGGATTTGATATATACATTTCTATATATTAGAAAATTGCTAAGCAAATTATTAACAAACTGCAAAATTTCTGCTCAAGTCAATTTCTCGGGCAAAAGTTCATGAGATGGTCTACTTCAGATTAAAATAATGTTTTTATTGGTTGAGTTGTATATATACAGCTGGAAGACGAAATATAAAAACACAAGCTCTGGCTATAATTATGTAGACTGGTGAAAGATGTGAGAAGGCTAAAATTTAAATTTCATTGTGTATTTTAGATGTGTCTCTCTATATAAATAATATATTCGGTCTCAGTTTTTCTGTAGTTTTTTTTTAACGATTTTCTTATAAAGTATCACACATCAGGATAACAAAATATCCACCAGGAAATCAGAAATCTAAAAGGAAATACACGAAAATGATCTGGATAATCTATTGAACAAAGGAATTCATTTTTGCTTTAGTAAATTGCATTCACCATTAATTAAGTAACAGCTCGTTCCATCGAAATAATCGTCAAACTCAATATGATGAGAGAGTATATCACTGAGGGTGTTTTTTTGGTTTTGTTTTGTAAATGTTCACTTTTATGTTTACATAATATTTTATTTAAATTACTTGTGCCTCCTTGTATATATTCCTTCTAGCAATCATTACAGGCTATCGTCGTAAATTGCTGCTTCAGATTATAGATTATTATGATATTGTTTGTATTAATTAATTCTCTTATTGTCTGACAGTTAGTGGCATCAATTTTATGTTAAGCATAGTTTAATTATTTTCAGTTATAATAGCGAGAGTTAGGAAGAGGAATGTATATCGTTTTGTTTATTTGCTAGAATGACTCCTTTTATTTTGAATATAATGTGATAGTCTTTCATTTACGATTTGAATACGAAATACGTAACATATTAGAAGATGTTAAAGGAATATTGAAGGTTGTAGTGCTTCACACCTACATATTACGTCTAATATATATATATATATATATATATATATATATATAGACATTATTTCTCATATTGTCTGTCTGTGTGTCTGTCGTGGGCGTTGTTTTCTCGCCTAGGCCGCATTCTTCACCCGATTTCGATGCGGTTTTCACCACAAGTTTGCAAATGGATGCCGTAAGAACATGACGGAGACCGAGTTCGGATTCAGATTACGAAAAAATCGATAATCGAAAAAATCGATAATCGAAACAATCTGCTTACAGAAGGAATGATCGGATTTCAACCAAATTTGACACCCTCTTAGAGTCTACCATTAGAAGTGGTGTCCAGAGGTTTTATGACCACTGACCCCTAAACAGCGCGGAAAATCGATAAAACTCAAAAACCGGTACGCCAAGATTGCGCCTGAACCGCATGTCAGTTTTTAGCGAAAACCGAGCGGATTTATGAGGAGGCCATTGGGTGTCACCATGTGAAGTTTCAACTCTGAGCGCCCCCCCCAAAAAAAAACAGAGTGTAAATCGACAATCGGTAAACCCTTAAAAATGGTTTTCCGGTTGGGTATTTCCTAAATGCTGATTTATTTAAGGTCACGCTATCCGCGGGAAGAAACAGGTCAGTGCGTGCAGTGGAGTTGAAAAAAAAAACATTTGACCTTAAATTCTGGAATGGGTGCAGGGCCATTGAAATTCGGCTACCAAGTCTGACTTTTAGCCATAAATGACATATTCGACTTTGTCAACACTTTTGCTTTAATCGTCGCATCTTACCAAAGTAAGCATCTACTTTATTCGCGTCTTTACTGAAAAAAACCGCATACGTGATGAGTGAAAATGGTTCCGCCCTCAGCATTCCATTTTCCAATTCTTTAAACCTTTTCCTCGAGCCCTGGCCGCAACCCAGACCTGACGAGGAGATTTTGCGCTAAAACAGCAGGCCTTCCTCCCAATCCATTTCAAAGCTTATGCCAGCAAACGGTTAGCGGATTTTCGTTGTCGCACAAAGCAAACGAGCAAACACTTCATTGCAGCTCCTTGCATTCTCATCGCCGGCATCACGTGCGTTAGAGCCAAGATGCATATACAGCAGGCAGCTTGACCCCGTTTACGGCCAAGCCTTGCGCTTGCCAGATCATGCGCGCGTGCGTGAATGCGCGCTAGCATCTTCCATTTTACGTGAACTCATTCATTGGTCTAAGTCATAGCCATTGTCCAGGCTACACCAATCAATGACAAGTCACGCTCCCTTTAAATACCTTCAGCGCGGCTGCATCCGCACTCACGTCTTGATTTGATCGCGATTAACGCATCTGCACGTGGATTAATTGACAGCTACCTGCTACCGCAAGTTACTTATTTGCTTAAACGTTTGCATTACCCATTTTATCTCCCCGTGCTGCCTCTACTGCGCAGCCCAGTCCATCTTGGCGTTCTATACCTATTTCTACCTTTTCGTAGCTCAGATTTGCTATTAGACAGTTAACTGCTGTCGCATGTTACTTATTTACTCAATCGATTGCCCAAACTATTTTACCTCCACGTTACAGTTTTCACTGTAAGTTGAAGTGTACTGCCTTTACTACGCGGCCCAGTACACCTCAGTACTTCACTGCCTATTTGCTTAAACGTTTGCATTACCCATTTTATCTCCGCGTGCTGCCTTTACTGCGCAGCTCAGTCCATTTTAGCTTTTCATAACTATTTCTGCCTTTTCGTAGTTCTGTTTTGCTATTAGACAGTTAACTGCTGTCACAGGTTACTTCTCTTATGCCTTTACTACGCGGCCCAGTACACCTCAGTGTTTCACTACTTTTAAACCTTCAACGCTTCAACGTTTTGGTTGCGTAACCTCTTCCTACAGCGACGTTTTCGTGCTGCCAGAAAGCACGGCCCATAGCCAGGAGAAGCTTTTTCCATACCGCTGCACTGCATTTTTAGTTTTCGTATACAACGAGGTTTCACCGCTTTAGCTTCGGCATCAACTTTTATTCGCATTCTTACACAGCATTTCTACAACTATTCAAATGGCTCCTACACCACGAACATCCGAACGTCAGCAACAGAAGACACATAATACCGTTAACGTTACACATGCAGAACAGGCGACTGCGGAGGAGCACATAATAACTCCGGTTACAGATGATCATAAAGCGTCTACTTCAACCTCTGCTTTGCACTATTCTGCGTGCCGTGGCGATGACCAACCCGTCAGCTCTGAAAAGGCTGCAAAAACACCCAGGTGAGGCAACCTTAGCAGGCGTTCTAAAAAAGCCTCACCAGCTAAGGGGAAACGGGAGCAGGATTCCATTGAGTTCGCCTCCTTGGAAGAGAAGCGTCTGGCGTCAAATTAAACCACGTCTTTGCACTCTTCTGCGTGCCGTGGCGATGACCTACCCGGCAGCTTTGCTAAGCGTGCCAAAATACATGGCGAGGCAAACTTAGCAGGCGTTCTAAAAGAGCCTCTGCGGCAAACAGAAAGCGAGAGGAGGAAACCGAGGTAGAGGCCTCTCTAAGGCTTTCCAGTCAATCTTAACGGAGTCAGTATGTACTGTCACCGAAACGCTTGTTGAACGTAACTACCGTTTGTACTGCAAATCAGTTTACACATATTCGTTGAAAAGTAAGAGGAAACTACCTAAACGCTTGCAAGGCAACAAAAAAGCGGCTTCATCACAAGCGCTTTTGGGGTCTCGACAGTGCCCGCGTCGAAAAGATACACGCAATGCAGCCGACGCCGCTGTAACTTCTGTTGCAAGGGCGTCGGAAAGTTCCGCGCAAAAGCGCACTAGGCCGCAACGCGATGCAATTTCAACTTCCGCTGCTAGAGCTGTAGAAGGACCTACTGAAAGGCTTGAAAGGTTGCAGACTGTTAACCAGCGCCGCCATGCACAACGAGGGCACTGTGGCCCATCAAAGCAGTTTTGGTTTAAGCTGGTGTTCAACTATGAGCCAATTTTGAGACTTTCCTGTCGCAAAGACCTCCAAATAGGATCCAGTTCAGACTCCAGACATTTCCTCGCAAAAATCAGACTGTACAATTGTGCCTTCCAGATGACCACTTGGTAATGCCTTCCGCGAAGTCGGCTGGAATCCCACCTTCAAGGTTCAAGGTCAGGTTTACCACCGAATTGTGTCTCATTTGCCGGAAACTGCCATTGATTCGGCCTTTCTACAAATATACTTCATAGCTGACTACAATCAACAAGCAGATGCCCGCATGGGCATTATTCCCGAGAACGATTCTGGCCAGGACAATCATCCTCGCAGGGATATTATAATGAGTCTCCAACAAATGCTCCACAAGACAAACAGCTATATTGCAGTTTTAAATATGCTCTCGAAAATAACACTTCTTCTGATTTCAGTATTGTAATTGATGCTGACAAACGGCCTCAGGGGGAGCACGAACGTCGTTACAATGCTCCCGCAAGTAACGAAGTTTCCTTCATTGTCAGCGGTGATCAGCACAACAGACGTGACAATGTTATCGAATCGCGCGGCAGTGGGCTCTGAAGAATCAGTGAAACGCACCGGTACTACGATGCACTGCAATATCTACTTTTCTTCCCTTACGGGGGAGATGGGTACGACTTTTGCCTTCTGCAAAATAGGTCCACCTTAAAAACTGTGTCTTGCAGGGCTTTCTTACGCTTACCTATTGATGGTACTTGAGGGTGCATTGAATCATCTTCATCGAAGCCGGCAACTTTTCCAACAATTCATAGTAGACTTGGCTGCTAAGATGGAATCCGAAAGACTCTGTTACATTAGAATGAATCAGACCAAGTTGCGCTGCAACTATTACATTCACCTCCTTGATGCTTTACCAAATGACGTTATCCACGCAATATAGGCAAGATGTGCATACTACTTGCAACGTTCACAGGCAGTCCAGGATACATGCACGCGATGACGCAAGTCGCGATGACATACGTTCGTGAGTACGGCCGACCAGACCTATTCATAACTTTCACGTGTAACCCAAAATGGTAGGCAATTGCTAAAGAACTTATGCAAGAGCAATCGGCCTACGACCATTCTGACCTCATTGCGCGCGTTTACCATCTGAAGTTGGGAAAGCTAATGGGTGTGATTACAAAGGGCCAGGTATTTTGGGTTGTTTGCTGTCGCATGCACACTATTGAGTGGCAGAAACGCGGCCTGTCTCACTCACATATACTAATTTGGCTGCGCGACAAGATTGAGGCCACAGAAATCGATCATCTTATTTATTAATAGTGACAACCAACATGATTCATGGTCCCTGCGAGTCGCATTACAATTACACCAGCTGTCACAACAGCGACAGCAAATTCACATGGCATTACAGGGATTGATGGTTATCCACTGTACCGGCGAAGGAGTCCCGCTGAGGGAGGATTTACAGCCGCGGTAAAGGCCAACCAAGTGGATAACAGATGGGTAGTACCATACTGTCCCCTGCTATCAAAAGCGTTCAATGCGCACATCAATGTCGAATATTGTCATTCAGTGCGTTTTATCAAGTATGTATGGAAGTACATCATCAAAGGGACTGATGCAGCAATGTTTGGTATTAGGTAGGAAGGTTCCGTAGACGAAATCCAGGACTTACTTGCAGGTCACGTCATTAGCAGCACAGAGGTCCCTTGTCACATATTCAGCTTCCCCATCCACGAACGCTTCCCAGCAATCGTCCATCTTGCTGTGCACCTAGAAAACGACGAACTTCGTTATTTTTCTGCGGATAGAGCAATGGATGTGGCTGCGCGTAACAAAGACACAACGCTTCCAGCGTTCTTCAAACTTTGTCGACAGGACGAGTTTGCTAGGACTCTAATGTACCCAGACGTGCCTTCATACTACGTGTGGACAAAAAAGAACACCTGGGCTCGGCGGAAGTGCAGGGCCAACGTCGAGGGCTATCCAGGCGTCAAAAAAGACGCCACACTCGGAAGGGTATTCACGATTCCCCCATCGCGACAGGAATGTTTTTACTTGCTACTCCTTTTGCACGAAGTTAGTGGTCCAACGAGCTACAATAACTTACAGACGGTTAATGGAGTTTTATGTGACACTTTTCGTGAGGCCTGCCTCCGTCTCGTCATTTTGGAAGACGACAGCCAGTGGGATGCCACAATGGCTAATGGAGCTCTATTAAAATTGCCCTCTGCTTTGCGCCACCTCTTCACGACAATCTTACAAATGTCCGAACCCAGTGATCCCAAATCACTTTGGGACAAATACAAGGACTTTTTGTCCGAAGACATACGCAGAGAAGCGCAACTGCTGTGTCCAACAATGGCTCTTACATTCAACGATGAAATTTACAACACGGCGCTTATAATCATTGAGAACCTGTTTGTTGAAATGGGGGAATCTCTCGCAACTATTGGGCTTCCAGCGCCAGATCGTGTGGCTTCCTCCAGTCTCTCACTTGAGATTGTGCGGGAGACATAATACTCTGTTGAGGAGCTCAACACCTATGTCACAACAAATGAGCCAAAACTTCTCATAGACCAAAGGGCCGCTTACGATACGGTTCTTGCATCCACCAGGCAGGATACAGGATCAATTTTCTTCTTGGACGCGCCTGGGGGAACGGGAAAAACGTTCGTAACAAAACTGTTTCTTGCAGAAATTCGGCGCCATGGCGAAGTGGCGCTAGCAGTAGCGTCTTTAGGCATTGCTGCCACATTACAACCGGGTGGCCGAACAGTGCATTCAACGTTTAAACTTCCACTTGACCTGATTAAGGCAGAAACAGCTGTATGCAGTATAGCCAAGCAATCATGTCTAGCTGAGGTACTCAGGTGAGGTAAGCTTATCGTCTGGGATGAGTGCACTGTCAGTCCCAAAATTGCACTCGAGGCTGTAAACCGCACTCTGAAGGATATTCGAAACTCCGATAACCTTATGGGAGGTATAACTATCCTTCTATCCAGTAACTTTCGCCAGACCCTCCACGTTGTACCTAAGGCCGGCACTATTCGAGCGTGCTTGAAATCGTCACAATTTTGGCCCACTCTTAGAACATTGCACCTTAACACCAACGTGTGTGCAAACCAAACTGGCGTTGGGTCCGCCGAATTTTCGAATTCATTATTAGCCATTGGCGAAGGTATTATTCCAGCGGACACTAATGGATTTGTACACGTCCAAGGGTCACAGTGGTCACAACGCCAGCAACACTCAGGTAATCAGTTTTTCCCGCTCTTCAAACCAACTACAACAATATTGAGTGGCTTGCTGTGCGGGCAATTCTTGCCCCCCAAAAACACCACTGTGACAACCCTTAACAGACAGCTTCTGGAAACTGTGCCAGAGGTGTTGCACGTTTACTGACAGAACTCCAGACCCCGCTGAAATGGCGAACTTTCCAGTGGAGTACTTAAACAGCCTCCACCCCGCTGGTCTCCCTCCTCACATTCTGGAACTTAAAGTGGGGATCCTGGTTATGATGCTTAGAAACACAGAAACTCTGTAATGAGACCAGGATGGTTATTCAGGCCCTACACCTAAATATTATTGAGGCCAAAATTATAACTTGCTGCGGTAAAGGGGAGCAAGTGCTTATCCAAAAGGATGCATTTGTATCCATCAGATGTCGACTTTCAGAAGATTCGATTCCCAGCCACACCCTGTTTTGCTGTGACAATTAATAAGGCCCAAAGACACACGCTGTCTGTCACTGGTTTACACTTAGAGGAGCAGTGCTTCTCACACAGCCAACTTTATGTAGCCTGCTTTTGAGTCGGCTGGCGCGAGGATGCGTTCCTTTATCCACCCTCGAAAAAAACTAAAATGTGATCTACACTGAGTTCCTCGGCCAGTGATACGCAAACTCCATTCGATTTTTCCTTTCCATGCAAGAAAATTGAGGTCCCTGCACTTTCACATCCATACTTACTGCAAATGCTATTCTACATGTATGCTAATTTATTTGTTGCAATAGAAAATTGAACATCGCAGATTGCAGTGTGGATTTCAACAATTGACTGCTTGAAATTCCTATTGAGGAAAACCAAACCGGTCGTTAATCACATCTTGCAAAGTTGTAACCAATCGTATTGCAAAAACTGAAGAGATTCGTTTAATTGTCAAAGAAGTCGAGCGCATCCACAAAAATCGGTACTTATTTTAGTGTTTGGGCATTTGAGAGAAGTTGGGTATGGTGTCTAATGAATGCTTCAGTTGCACACACCACTGCAAAACTGAAAAGACCTATTAACCTTCGATTTGCAACAACATCTAACTGCTCACGCATTGTGATGCTGATTGTGGAAGCGGCAGCGTCGTCTTTTAGGCAAAAGATGCATCCTTTTTTGCATTCAGCGATTGGTTGCAGACGAAAAGATGTCTCAAGATTTGAATTTTTTGTGTTCAGTTATGTCTCCATTCAAATCCACAAATCCAGCATTCAATATGTTTGATTTGGCAGGGACCTCAATTTTCTTTCATGGAAAGGAAAAATGGAATAGAGTTTGCTGAGGACTGGTTGAGGACCGCACTGTAGACCACATTTTTAGCTTTTTGTGAGGGTGAATAAAGGAACACAACCTCGCGCCTGCCGACTCGAGGGAAGTCTACATAAAGTTGGCCTTATGAGAAGCACTACTCCTCTAAGTGTACACCAGTGACAGACAGTGTTTGTCCTTGGGCCTTATTAATTGTCATAGCAAAACAGGGTGCGAATGGGAATGGGGATCTTCTGAAAGTGAAGGGTACATCGGCATCTGATGGATACAAATGCATCCTTGGGATAAGCACTTGCTCCCCTTTACCGCATTACTGTGAAGGATTGAATTCATCGCCAACTAATGTATAGTTACAAGCATCAATTGTCTCTCCTCACATCACCATACCATATGTAAAGAAATGAATTTTCAATTTGGACCCAGGCTTTCAAAAAATTGGTAAATTGGCTGGTACTCCGGTATTTGGGCGGATTACATTCTAAAATTTTGGGCGTTCTTTACACTTCAACCAGTAATTCCTACGCGGCCCAGTTAGAGGCGCCTTGCTTAGAATGCCATGTGACCCGGACATGACTCAAAATTTGATACAAACCTCTGTGTTGACCATGCCCTCTGCTGTGCATTTCACATTTTAAACTTTGTTCTTTCTCCCTGGTCGCATCCCAGATCCGATTTTTCAATTTACGTCATTGTGTCATGCCGGAGCCTGATTTTTCCTTTGAGACTGAAACTTTGTAAAAAAAAAAAAAAAAAGATTAACTCACAGGTGATACGGATTTTGTGGGTTTTAAGTTGAATGTCTCACCTGCACTACGCGGCCCAGTACATCTAAGCTTTTCACTTCATTGAGGACTCTGTGCAGTTGACATTGCGTTGTTAAACACTTGTGAACTCTTTTTATCTGAACTTAAAATCCGATCAATGTATGGTTTACAATGTACCGGGTTAACAAAACAAGGGCAACAACAACCCCGCCTAAGTAGTATGACCAGTCTCAATATTTCAGGAAACTGGGTTGGGTGTGAAAAAGTATTTGTTCTTAACATTGTTTTTTCATTCGGTTTTTCCAGTTACGAGTTCTTTTTTAAAACTGATCGTTTTGTGTTCATTTTCTTGAGTTCTTTTTTCGTAACAGATTTAATGTTTAGTATAGAGCTTAGAAAAAATAAGCAGTTTGAGATAGGCAAGAAGTAAGGCATGTAGCAACATCAGCACGGTAAAGGGCACTCCTTTAAAGGCAATAAATGGCAAAAATATTTTAAGTCATGTGATAGCGATTCTTGTATGAGTCGTACGATTTTGAATCAAGCACGGGCAACGCCAGGCCATGCTGCTAGTATATATATATATATATATATATATATATATATATATATATATATATATATATATATATATATAAACATACATATATATATATATAAACATACATTCATACATAAATTCCTAAGAGCGTAGAATATCTGTGTGTGTGTATTCCCAAGGATAGAATTCAGGCGGAACTCAATGTCCACAACAGAGTAAGAATATAATATAATGGAATTTGTATGCCTGATGACTTGGATCGTGATTACGATTCCAATGTAATAAATTTTACCCATGGAATATTATTGTTTGAGACTTTCATATGTGTGTGTGTGCGTATATATATGTGTGTGTGTAAATGCAACGCACCCTTGTATTAAGCTGAGCAATTTAAAAGAAAGAATAAATAACCAAATCGTTACATTTATCTGCATGGCTGTTGAAATATAAATCAGATTATAAATAATATCAGTGTGCTTAATGCAGACAGATATTTGCGATTCAGTGATGGAATTGACGTTTTGAAAGTTAATAAAAATTAATCCACTTTATGTTTTAATATATCCAGAATTCATAGACATTAATCCTCCTCCAACCAAAAGAAAAAAAAAACTTTCATAAAATATAATCAATCGAATTAAAAATTAAGCTATACTTTTCATAAAAATTAAAAGATGAAAAACCAATTTGGAAAAAAATAAAATAACTATAAGCTATAAATTATCTCTAAATTTTAAAATTATAAAAGCCTCCGTTAACATGAACGTTTAACATTTTTCATACATCTTACTATGGGCATTTTAATTATGATTTTCTTGCATACAGACACAAACAGATACAAAAGCACACTTCTAATCTTTATACATCTACGTGAAATAATATTTAATGCATAGTAAACACGTCAATAAATTCCTTCTGAATTATAGTTCTTGTTACTTTGCATTAACTGGCATTGTAAATCACTTGTAAAACTGTTTCCCGGAATTTTGCGACACTTTATCTTCGAATTCGATAGATAACGATGGTTGATTGCTTTTATTCCCTGAACACGAAAGACTATGGTTCTACATTGCATATATTAAAATGCATCGAGCAGTCTTTCAATTAGATTTGGAAACTATCACCTGTGTTGATAAATAATTTTCATATATTTTGCAATTCCCGATTTTACGAACACACACACGCAAACACAAAAAGAAACACACATATGCGCTTGTTTTTGTTTGTGTTTACACGTTTTTGCATGCGTTTTTAATTTTTGTAGGCGTGCGTGCGTGCGTTTGACCGGTGGAATGTCCTCGGCTCCACAATGAAAATTGACTTCGCGTCATGAGGAGTGGTGCGTAATATTTCGTGTTTTCCTCACGTAGTTGATCAAAGTTGACATATATATATATATATATATATATATATATATATATATATATATATATATTTAGAGATTTTTTTATATTGACCTAGTAGAGATATTTCCCTATTGAGATATTTTTCTTGAGAAATGAGTCTGAAACATTGTCAGCACTATTCCCACCCAGCACACACACACACACACACACACACACACACACACACACACACACACACACACACACACACACATATATATATATATATATATATATATATATATATATATATATATATATATATATATATATCTTAGTGTTCATAGCTTTA